AGCATGTGCGGTTATGAGCCTCTAATGTCAAAGACTTAAACCCTATCTTTGATTGTCTTATACAAATTATATCTGTTGATTCTTTTCTGTATTTTAACACCCTGGAAAAATTTAACAGAAGTTTGAAAATTAGTGCATCACTTTAGCTTCATGGCAAACATTTTCTATCAAATTATCTCCTTCAAGAATTTTCAAAGCACAATTGGCAAGCAGCTTGTTAATAGAAGTGAATTTCTTTTTAGGTGGGGATTTTCACCACTTGACGAAGCAGTACGATTTGACCATCAGGCCTGCGTGGACCTGATAAAACACCATCTTCAGTTACAAGGAAAAACTATTCAGTAATTGGTAGAGCCTTGTGATACATAAAGTTGACCAAAAGGATCAATTCCTAGGTATAAAATATGAGTTTAAAAACCATTTTATTTGTAAAATTTGAAGTGACCTCACTGAAATGATATACTGCATTCCTAAAATAAACACTTATGTTCTCTAATAAGGGCCTTCCCCCAAAAAGCACTTTCCCAGGAATAAGTGCCCACCCCCTAAGGTCATATTTATCAAACAAGTGCCTCACTCCTCCTCCCTTTCTCAAATAGCAGGGATGAAAGGCAAACTTGTTTCTATTTCCACCTTGTTTATAAATTTTCAAGCTTCAGTACAGAATAATAATTGATTAATAAGCACCCTCCTCAATTGGGGGCACTCTCCTTCCAATAAGTGCTCCTCCCCTAGGCTGAAATTTTAAATAAGGGCCTGAGTGCTTATTCACAAATTACGGTGTGCACCAAAATGCGTGCAGCAATGCATTATAGAGAACAGTTACTTGTAACTAAGTTATTTTATTTATCATTCAAAGTTTTAAATATCAACAAACAATGTAAGGTTAAAGGTACTAGTGTGAAAAAAGGAAAGTTCCTTAATGCAAGTGTGTTGCAAAAAGCAGGTGTTATATCCAAGTAAGGATAATTATATATTTTTGAGAAATTTGTTTGAAACTACAGAATACCAAATCTTAGCCAGTTTTATCCCAAAGGGAACTTATTTTTTTAAAATGGAACTGGCTCTCACGCTTATTACAAACTTATCATAATTGACAACTTTCAAAGACAATGAAATTAATTTAATCACATGATAATATTATTAAGAGTAACATTAATATATAACATAATCTGCTTTACAAAGCATCCTCTCTACTGAATGAGGGTTTGATCATGGCTAATACATACACTGTAGCTGATAGTCTGTTGTACTTTACTGAACTGAACCATAAAGTATTTGTGTTATTATTGGTCAATTTAACAGGCCATATTTCACAGTGCAGCCTACTAAATTCAAAAGCTTCAGGGAAATTATTAATATCTCACTAACCTTGTTTTCTTGGTCTGTACTCAAAATACCAGAACCTTATATTTTCCACTTAGACTTATGGCCTGCATGCTTCATAATTGCCACTCTTATCTAAATGAACTCATTGCATGGGACTCATGTGAACACAAGCTATTGTCTAATGATAATAGTGGCAACTGTTTGACATCATATAAGCCAAAATAGCACCTTCTGGGAAATTGAGGCATTAATGTTGCTTCCATTTGTTTACAGTTCTTATGCATTTCAGGTTTTTTCCCAATTTTCCAAGGGGAATCTTCATAGAACAAGTTATTGTCATCGCTTTAACAGCAATTTTTCCTGGAAAATTCCCTTAACCCCTAAGAGTGACTAACATCTAATTTCTCCTTTCAGTATCATCCTAGAATCAAACATTTAGATAATGAGAGTTAAGGAAATGGTTATTGACTAAAGAACTTTATGTTTGTTAAAGTCTCGCTGTGAGTACTGCTGGAAATGTAAATAGAATAGAATGCATACTTAAGTAAGGGTGTAAAGGTTTATTGTGCAGTTGCAATTAAAGGTAATTTAAGATATTTATGTTACTCATATCATTTTCCTGAAGTTATTATTCAGTTGTAGGCAAGTGATGGGAACCCAAGTCTTTACATAACCATTCATTTCAGCCACATTAGGACATAAAAACAAGATATGAAAACATTGAAATGATTCACAAAATATTACTGTTACATTAATGTCATCAAAAATTATTGTGGAGAATTTCACAAATGATCAATTGAGTTCCTTTTCCAACACACTGTATCTATAAAGTGGATCCAACTTCCCCTCTAGAGTAGCATCAGCCTCGCATAATGTTATGTGTCTGGTTTGACCAAGAAAATGTTCTGCAGCTTCCAGTTTAATCAGTTTTATTCTTACCAGGTCATCCACATTGTAGTAACTGAAACAAAAACAAAAAAAAACAAAACAAAAAAGTTAGTATAAAAGCATTATGAATGGAATTGTGGCATTTAACTCTTAACTCTTTCACTCCCACGATCTCATCAGTAATTCTCCTTACTATCTTCTATACAATTCTTATGATGTTAATTTGGTGAATTTGTATAGGTAATCACATGATTTCAAGTGCAATTTGGAATAAATAAGCACAAGTAAATTTTTTCAAAGACTAACAAAATTGCACGAGCCTGTAGGGCGAGTGCAATTTGTGGTCTTTCAAAAAATTAACAAGTAATTTTCGATTTCCTCGGCAATTCCCTTCTCTGAACACCACTTTTTCCAAACCAACAACCAAAAAGCAGCGCCTTTTACAGTTTTTTCATTGTTTAAGCTGTTTTTCAGCTGCAGTGGCAAAAGAAAACCTACTTAAAACGCCGGCCATTGTTTCGCTCGCAAATTTTCAAATTTTCAAATTTTGTTGCGACATCCAAGGCTCGCATTTGATTGGCTATATGTGAGTTTCTTTGATTATTGACCAATCAGAATGTCTGATTTGTTTCTTTCTTTGCACTGAATTAACCTTCTTCTGCACTGAATTAACTCTCTTCTGCACTGAATTACCTGAAAACTGCATTTATCTTAACCAATCAGAACTGAGTAATTTTTCCATGTATATTATTAGGTATTATATCAACTGATAATCCCCTAATTGATATTTTCTCTGTTCTTGTCACTTATCTGCTTGACATTTTATTGATTTTGTGAGGAGATATTTTTTCTTGGTCACTTAATGAAGTCAAGGAAAGTTAAAAAAAATCAAACACAAGCTAAATGTGACATCTAATTACTCCTTACAGTAACACAGCTGGATTACACTTAAAAGTCATAAAAATAATAGAATATGATCACAAACTTAGAATATTCTGGACTGTTAACCCTTTAACTCCCAGAGGTGATCAACATGAAACTTCTCCCTATAATATCCTTACATTATCCTGCAAATAGGTGATGAGTATATTCAAACTTATCAGGTAGAAGTTATCTTAATCTAACACCAAATTCTCATTACTAATTTGCAAGGAAATGTGTCACAGCTAGAGGAGAGAATTAACAATCAGGTCTCGGGAGTTAAAGAGTTAAATAACTTTTCCTTGTCAGTATCAAAGGAAATGTAAAGAGAACAGTATGGAGAATATACATATTGATTCTATAATTAATAATTAATAATTAATTATTTTCATTTCTTTTAAATTCAACGGCAAACATCATGTTCATACCTTGCTCTGTTTCTCCCTTCCGTACAAACCGCGTGAAACTTCCAGCCAAAGTCTATATACAAATCTTTTTTCGCACCGTTGTCCACGATGTGCGTTATTTTCCCAGCCACTATTTTTCCTTCAGGTCGACCCAATTTGACAAACCTAGAATTCCTCAACATTTCTTCGAAGTTTTCGTCCTCTGTACTTCCATTTGCGCTAGAATATGGCCTTATGCTTACATTTGTGGAAAGAAGAATGGATCTACAGTTGCGTCGCAAATATAAAAAACTAGATGCCTTTCTCAAGAAACCACATGAAGCCGCCATGTTTTATAACTGCGAGGCAACCTAGCAAATCACCAGGTTACATAGCCCTTATTCCTTACCAGTCCTTGCTCCTTACTAGGCCTACCTCCAGTCCTCGTCATTTGGGCTCGTTTGGGTGTAAAACTGTTTCATTCTCATGCAAGAAAAAGATTAAAAAAGAAATTGACAAGAGTAGAATTTCACTTTATCAAAGAAACTTAGAAGCAAAAAAAAACAAAAAGACAAGCTAAAAGTTTGCCATTCATGGAAAGGTTAGTTAAGTAATTTAGTATTAAAAGTTCCATGCAGGACCCTGTACCTATCGGCTTTCTGCCTCGCTGCTGCAAGGGGAAAAAAAGCAAACAGCTCTAGGCTTAGGAACAAAGGCACCATAAATGCCTGAAAAAATCTGTGTAGAAACTTCTCGATTTTTTTCTCATCATCATCATCATCATCAAAAACTCTCGCGAAAATTCTATTTCATTTAAAAACGTCCTAAAATATTCCATATCTTCAAAATATTCACCTTTTCACGAGCATGGTACAATTAGGAACTCAGATCTTCGGATTTCGCGCGGATGAGATTTCTTCGAAAGAAGTTCGATTCCTTTTTCTTTGTCCTACGCTCGTGACAAGACGAGAAACATCTTTTTTATTTCTTTACCGAGCTCAAAACTTATCATTTCTCTCCTACTATTTGTCCGCCTTTTGTTAATAGTTAACGCCTGAGGGGCCGACAAATACTTATGCAAATTTACTCAGTTTATCATATTGGTGTTGTAGACGTTTGAGACTGAAGAGCAGGGGAAAAACACTCAAAGTCGGGTCAACACACCTTGCTTCAACGGAATAAGTCGACATAGCACTGGTTTCGATGAATGCTTCCTGAGACAAGTTATCAATCGGACTAGCGCGTGGCGATCGAAGCAAAAACACGAGTAATTGTGTCAATTATTCTCGAACAATCAGAGTAATCCTGCCAAGAGAAGGGAGACGAAACATAAGTTTTCGCAAACGTCGACGAGTATCCTCTACGCAAACAAACGAGTGGAACGCCACTTTTTTTAAAAGGTATGTTTCTTTTGTTGATATTCTGATATAGGATCGGAGCGGAGTGACAACACCAACAAAGTAGACTTTCGTCTGCAATTTCTAAGAGTGCTGTTAAGTTTGAAGTAAATGTATAGAGTACCGCGACTGTCCAAATCTCTTTAATCGTCATATACTAAAGAACGAGATACCTAACAGACAATGGTCACCGTATTCTTATCCCGTGTGAACAAAAGAATCTGGTACGATCTCAAACATGTGCATCAAGTGAGTCACGAGATGCATGTGATATTTACCTCTCATATCCTTCAAATGATTCACAAAACTAAGATAGCTCTGGTTGTTTTTAAAAGCCGTTTCTTCAACAAAGCACTGGTTAAGAATATTTCCTCTTGACGTTTTAAATTTTGAAGGAGTTTTCACTATATTAGAAATACGTTTGATCGCAAACGGAAACGTAGAACAAACCGTAATATCTTCAAGTGGATAAAGGCCAACATCCTGTATTCAATGAAATTTACGAAATGCGTAAAGAAGCTCTTTATTAACAGCCTTTGACGACAGCAAAATGTAAAGGACTGAAAAGCTTGCTTGACTTAGACTAAAAATAGTTTCGACAAAAAATGTGGTGCTGCGACGGTGAGGGGTATTTGGATAATTTGGTTGTATCAACTGAGAATGAAATAATAATGTAAACTGGCCACCGTAGCGGAAATTTCGCTTTGGCGTCATCCGCCCTGAAGAAGGGCTAAGTCCATGAAACGTCAGCTTCAGAAACTCTTTACAGTGGCTAATTTTATATTATCAACTCAGTTGAGAGATCCAAATCATCTTGCTTTGTCATCAACCATATTTGCCTTCGGGCAGCAATTTGCTCGGTAGTCCACAAGAATCATAGCAAAATTTTTCGAGTCAGCACACAATGAACGCCACAACAAAAGTGTGAGAACTTCACGACAACCGTTTGAAAATCTCACTGCAATGGCAAGTACATTTTTTTCTGTCTTTAATAAAGACATTTTTTCCGTCAATTCTAAAATAGATCATTTTTCTTAAATTAAAGTATGTGTGAACTTGATTTTTTAAATTGTACGTCAAACTTTCGCCATGATAATTGTGGGTCATCATTTTATTGAGATATCTGCTCTCTAGGTCCGCTCAATCACATACTTCGTGAAGGAAGGGAAAAAGGTTGAGTCAGTTTCATTGTAAATTATTTTGTAAACGCACAGCCGCGCAAGGTTCGTCGTAATGTCCTGGAGACGATTTTCACAGCGTTATGTTATAAGTCACGCAATGTTAGATTGCGTGACCTCAAAAAATCACATCTTTCTACAACAGTTAAATTAGTTAAGTGGGGTTAAATTACTTTAAACTTAATTTGTTAACTTGAAATTATGCTCTCTGAAGTTATCTGAAGGGTTATATGGCCCAATGAATATTTTCTAAGTCTAAAATATCTCCTGATGGTGAATGTGATAACTGAGCTAAGTGAGCTCTTTCGTCTCTTCGTTACTTTGTTCTTTCGTTTCTTCGCTCCTTTGTTCTTTCGTTTCTTCGCTCCTAAATTCCTTCATTCCTTCTTTCCTTCTTCGTTCCTTCGTTTCTACGTTCCTTCGTTCCCTCGTTCCCTCGTTCCCTCGTTCCTTCGTTCCTTCGTTCCTTCGTTCCTTCGTTCCTTCGTTCCTTCGTTCCTTCGTTCCTTCGTTCCTTCGTTCCTTCGTTCCTTCGTTCCTTCGTTCCTTCCTTAATTCTTTCGTACCTTGCAAGAATTTACTTCCTCTGTACTGTTGACATGTTTTTTTTTCTCTTCTCACAGTGATACGAAGGTCAGCTTCCTTCATATGATTTTATGGAAATTAAATGTACGTTCGTGCAACATATCAAAAAAATCTGGTTGTTGTTTATTGTCACTTTGTTCATTTGCGGATGGGTCATCATTGAAAAACTGGACAAACCTAGCATGATAACACCTTATTTTTATGATCAACAAAAAGATAACGTCTATAACAAAAATTATACATCTTGGCTTGAAGAAGTCACCGTATATGACGTTAAGCAATGGCAGAAGAAATTCTACACCTCGCTGGCTAGAATACGAGAAAAACCTCCAAAAGAATGGAAATCAAGTGTAACCAGGATTATGGCTTATAATGTGTACACTCAAGGGTTGTTGGACAATTTACGACAGTTCAAACGGCCAAGAAATGAACTTGGACAAAGTGTGCACATTGGCGCAAATAACGGTTTGTTGCTGTTTCCAATGGTAGCATCATGTAAGCCCATATTACCTGATGTGGTTCTTTATAACAGGATATTTAAGACCGGAAGTGAAACGACGGGTGCGTTGTTTGGTTTCTTAAGTTACGTGATGGATTATCTGTACACCAAACGTGAGTATTTTTTGTAGCAAACTACTTAAAGTGTTCATGACTTGTCATAGTTTGTGGTCATTATTTCATTATCTTCCGCCTGGTAGAAAGAGGGGCGAAGGGGGTCGGAGAATCTTGATTGTATCACGATAAAATTTACTTGATCTTCCCCTGAGCCACTCAAACATGTTTATGATCTCCCCTCATTGGCAGTCAATTTTTTTACAGTTTTTCCTGTATATTCTGTTGGCGACGACTCAGTGATACCCATCTAAATCCTCTGAAATTAGTGTCGCATGCAACAACCAACCAGAATAGAGATACATTTCTGCAGAAACCAATAAGATCTAAGAGCTAAGGAAATGTATTCAAAATAATTAACAGAAAATGCCTACTGAGGCTGTGTTAATGGCGCTGTTTTTCGGTTTATTTATTGTCCGTTGTGACCATAAATATTAATTAGAAGCTGCGTTTGTTCTTACTTTATGACAGAAACAACAGAAGATTTCTATGACAAGGGCGTCTCTGCACCATATCCAATGATTATTGAACGTAAAGTCAGAGGAAGTCGAAAAGTGCTTTTTAATGCACACTTTTTCTTCAGAAACAACTTGGACCTAGAATTGCGTTCTCATACTTACATTAATCAAGTTCGAGAGCCAGTTGCAAGATTTATATCCCATTACTCTTACATGCGAAGTACAAACCGACCCAAGGATAGAATACAACAGATGATTGACAGCGGCGAATGGAACGAAACTATTGAAGAATGTTTCGAGAAACAAAGCCAAGGTTGCAGACGTAATGTCATGACGCGTTTTTTCTGTGGAACGGACAGATTTTGCAAGAGCGACGCGCCTAACGCGCTCATTAAAGCGAAGGAAAACATTTTACAACATTACGCTGTTGTTGGTTTGCTGGAACATTTTCAATTAACTTTAAAAATTCTACAAAGGCGACTGCCCTTTTTCGTGCCAGTTGTACCAAGGAACCCCAGTGAATTGAGAGTCAATGAAGGTGTTAGAGGCAAGAACGTTTCTGTTAGTGAGGAAATGATTTCTAAGATAAAACGAGCAAACTGGGCTGACATGGAACTTTACGATTTTATAAAAGAGATATTTTGGAAACAGGCACGAGCTTGTGGGCTGTCTTAGCCACTTAGCTCTCAAGATTTAATCAGGAATTCTCCCCTCTTGCTCTCATACGTCACCTTGTAAACTAGTAATGAGAAATGATACACCGTTGGGCTGATCAGTTTGTCTACACTCATTACTTACTTGCAGTATAATTTTTAATAGTTTCGGGAAAAGGTGCATTTTGATCTCTTCTTGGAGTGAACGGTTAACCAACTCCTTCCTGAGATATTATAATTATTTATTTTGTAGCTATTTGTATATGCAGATATATATTATGAGAATTATCGAAGCAGAGCAATTATTCGGAATATACGTCGCATAACTCACGAAAGAAATAAATTTTAAATTTATTTTTTTTATTTAGTATGTGAGCCGTGATTAGTCATTTTAGCGAACCATATTTCACAGTATGGTCCACTAGATTGACATATAATAATTATTATTACTTTTTCTCGGTCCCTATCGTAAGTTTCGGAACCTCGGGGGTTTTTTCACTCGGATTTTTTTGCCCGCGCGTTTCAGACT